TTAGATGAATTATTGATAAGAATAATAGTCTAAAAGAATAAATAGAGCGATGGATAGAGCTTGAAATAGAATTATATGGAGCTTCTAGCAAGTCAGAGTAGAGAGTATAAGAGCTAGTAGTGAGTGAGTAAGGGGTGAGGGACGTTGATTTCACGTAGACTGCGATAACAAGCGTAACAAAGGGGTCGGCGTGCAACCGCAAGCAAGACAGCATAATTGCGTTGTCAGTGACAGTGCCTTCAGGCTATGCATATTCTGAATGCTCTTTCACACGTGATAATATGCCTAACACCGAGATTTTAGATAATATGTCATATTCAGTGAATTATTATCATTAAAGCTGAATAATTATTTCTTTTATTTATACCTTTTTTTTTGTTGGTTTTTTTTTCTTTCTATAAAACCATCATTTTTTTCATGTTTGACTATTTTATCATTATTTGGAGATTTATTTAGATTTATTAAAAAATTGCATGACTGTCATACTTATTATATGGTTGAATATTATACAGGGTAAAAAAAGAACATGAAACAAAAAAAAAAAGGAAAATCTATTGAGCAATGAAAGGGGGACTTAAAATAACAAAACTCTATTCAAATTTAATCTACACGTATTTTTTTTTTAATTTGATTGTAAACATTGCGAGAAAAAAATTTTTTTTTTATACAAAAAAAAATTATTTGAGTTAATGTAATATTTTATTGAGTACAGTTTTAATTGAAAAATGCTTGTAGAATTTTACTTTTCAATAAATTCTAGAAAAATATTTTTATAAAAAAATTTCAATAAAATCATCATATATGGCATATGCAATCTACTGAATATATCGTACACGGAATATGCCATCTATAATAAAAATCGAGACTATCCAAAGAATTATTATAACAATTATCTGATATATTTTTACATTTAAACTTTTCTTTTTATATCTGTATATGTATGAGAGCACCATTAACTCTAGATTACAACTCTGCGGTATTTACTTAGAGTTGGGGATGTGACGTGATACGAACCCTGAAGGCTCATGTCTTGATTCGAACATCTCCCCAAAAAAGATCGACCTCGATACGAACTGAAGTGTACACTTTTGTTACTTATACTGTCGTTACTATCGCATCATCCCTATTTGTTTTTCAACGTAATTTATCTTTTATCGAATTAAATGATGTTCTCTTTATTCAATCAATACCATCCAATAAGTGGATATTTTGCTACACCAATAAATGATTATTTTTTAAAATAATATTATGACTTATTTCATTTAATAGTAGCATCCAACATTTCAATGTCAATTAAAACTTAGTTATAACTATTCAAATAAATATAAAGTTGGTTGTATCTTGGACTAGGACATTTATAATAAATTTTCAAAAATGGTGCAATTGAAGTAAAAGCAGAACAATTTTTTATCTCGACTTTATCAAAAAACACCATATAATTTAACTACACAACAAACACACACAGGACGAATCAAAGTTTTTTGCTTTGTATATTTACTCGAGCTTTTTATTAAACCGCTCACATTAACCCAAGTTGAGATATAATAATAATTAATTTCAATATGACAAGCAAAAGAAAAGCTTCACATAAAGGCAAGCTAAGAACGAGGTAAAAAACACAACGCGTTTATAATTTCAATTTTCTCTTTCTTTTCCTCTTTACCACTTTCCTTTCTCACTTTTCTTCTTTCTCTCAACGTTAGTTAATTATTCCCGCAAGAAATGAGAGCCAAAGGCGTATCTTACGCAGATCCCTCGTGCGACGAAACCAGAACAAACGTGCAGAAAATGCAAAGTAATTGCAATGAAATTTCTACTATAGGTATACCGACATAACTTCCTATTTTCATCTCATCTTTATCAAACTAGCAAGCTGAAGAACATCAAGTTAAATTCAAAGAGAAGTCATTAATGAATAATGTTAGAAATGATAATATAAGCCTTATGAGTTTAATAACTTGGATCTCTTATTAAATTAAATTAAATTCGAGTGCAACTTTACCATGTCATCGACTGAATTTAATGAATATCAAGAATTGTCAGAAGCTGATGACACATGAAGCGATATTTTGTGATCGATTTTCAATGTTGATTTACGTCTCTAAAAATTTCAACTCAAACATTCAACATCAGCAAATTATTGAACATTTTTTTTTCCTAGTACCTCTTCAACTTACAACAATAATAAATTCTTAAAAAAAGTAAACTGAGTTAAACAAAGAAAATACCTAATCACTATTGGTTCAAGTAATTTGTCGGAATAGCATCGAAATGCACACATCTTGATGTCGAATGTTGTAACAGCTAGGGCTCGTGGGCATATGCAAGATGATTGTGGTTCGCGTTACAACTACCGGCTTACTCAGTGAACAACAGTAGTCAAATCAAACACAAGGCTATTAACTGGGTCAACACTGAGCTGCGAGAGTAAAGACCCATGGTACTTAGGTGCTATGCAAGCCAATAGTCTGAATAGACACATGGACGCATTGCGTATGCATTTTACCCCTCATCAGATTTTCTATCCACTCAATATCAGTGAATACATCACTCTTACTTCATATCCCACTTCATTCTTTCGACTTTCCTCACAATCCCCTCATCCCAAATGAGATAGAATGCAGCTATTCTAAAATAAACATCTGATGTGAGCTCGAACAAGGCCTTTATTGCCCCCGCTAATATTGTTTTAGGCCAGGATCTGATGATTTCACGATAGCCTCCTATTCGAGAACCTGAGAAATGACCGGCCGTGAATAAGTGGAAAGAAAATGCTTGAATATTTTTGTATTATTGTATATTTTAACCAAGGATGATCATAACATTTACACAACCCTACAATATATTTACAATTTACTGCATTTTTCTGCTGAATAGATCTGTTTCCCTGTTTTGGAGTCAAATGAACAAAGCTACTTCAAATATAATTTCATTGGTATTCTCTTTTCAACATGTTACTTGAAAAAAAAAATTTCCTTTATTCATTGGTGGCTATTTGTTGCTGTGACAATTTTTTTTTATTTTTTTGCAGTTACAATAGAAATCAAGATTGTTGGAGAAGCAATTTTGCTATCTATTGTGGCAAGAGAATATTTTTTTCAGTGAAAAAATGAAGTTTATCTCCAACTTCTCTAGTTGCAGTATACTCCAACATTACAGTAAGTTACATAAAAATATGAAACAAATAAAACTTACTGTAAATGAGCATCAGAGTTGATACTTCAATGGATAAAAATGATAGTTATTTCTCCTTGCGTCCTTTTATCAAAAGAAACTTTATTTCCACTTTGTTATTTTCCAACTCGCTAATTTGCACACCCCTTAAAAGAAGTCGTATTTCACGATTCGTTGGTTTATTATACGAAGGGCAAAAAGGAACATCATTGAATGCTTTTCAAGCTTGTTAATTATTATATAACAAAGTTTAACATTATAAATTCACAAGTGAAAAAAATTTTCGAAATCTATATCACGAGTTTTTATAATGGAGATTCAAAAATTTTAAAAGAAATGAAATAAATAAGAACTGCAGGGGGTAGATCGAAGGAGATTCAGAGTTTGGAAGCCAACGAAAGCCATTGATCCTTCGTGTACAATAACTCTAAGAAATCTTATGGTCCAGTGGTTGACATGAGATGGAAAAGAATTTTTTAAGTATCTGCAAGCCGACTTATACGTTTCAGTGACATCGTAACGACCTCACAACAATCTTATAGGACCTTTAGACCGTTAATCCTCAAGCAATCGATCGATCGAGCGTGATAGGATCTATTTACAAAATTCTCAGAGTTCAATTTCTAATGCTTACACTGACTCTAACCGATTTTAAATATAAAAGCGTTAACGATTGTAATTAAATGCTGCTGTAAAGCAGAAAATGTTTAGATATGAACGCTTATGTGCTCTAAGAGGTTATATCTCGATTTATTTCTGATGCTATACATTCTTGGATTTATTTCTTCATTGCTATATGTACATTGCTAATTGCCAAATCTTCTGGAAAGTCCACCTGCGTAAACGTTTACACGGAACTACAGTTGTTAAAGAATACAAACATTTGGACATCTTTCATGTAATGTCAAAGAACATCTCATGGTCCTTGACATTGAATAGAGCGTATCATAGAATCCTTGAGATCCCTTAACAATCTGTTTAAACCTCTCGTCATACTAAAAACGATTACAGTAGTAATTTCTTAATATTAAAAAACTTGTATTCTATTTTATTAATAAACTATTATTAATAATAGTTTCAATTAAATATCAAATTATTTAATTACAATAACAATGTTGTATTGTAAAATATGAATTTAATTCTATCATCTTATGGACAGATTATTTTTCTTTAAATAAATCAGATGAATTCATGCATTATAAAATATTGAAGCATTCATTGTAAAACATTACGCGATTCTATACCGTTTAATACTTCTTCAAGTAGTAATTGATATTCAAATATTCCGAGAGAATAAAAATCCAATAAAAATAATATTGGCTAAGAAAACAACTCTTTGTAATTCCCCAATGCGCAAGCAAAGTTATTTTTCGATCCAGATTCACTTCGATATTTCAATAGCTTTGAATTTACATAAATGCAATAATTCGTAAATAGAACAAAAAATTTCTCGATGGAAAATTTATTAACTTCTACATAAATATGCTAGTCTAATTTTTATAGTATCTGATAAATAATCTTTTAATATTCATTAAAAAATATTTTTCAAAACAATGCAACGAAAAATATTCTATTCCTAATTTTTTTTTATAAAGTTAATAACTATACAAATATTTATTCATACCTAAGATTGTATTATAAACTAAAATATTAAAAATTTAACAATTGAATGATATAAGCCTAAATAAATAAATACAACCCTGATAAATATTATCTTTGAAAGCTGATGTATGCTTCTTAAGAGTAATTTTAGTACGAAAGATGATTAACAATAATTCAAAAAATTAGTTCAGTTCTTAAAAATATATTATGAACTATTGAAAAAATTATTTAAAGATTACATGCATTTATTATAATGGAAAAGCGAAATACACGAGCAAAACACTTGACATGAGTAAATTAATTACTATAAACTATCTTAGACGAAGAGTGGAGATGACTATCTAGTAGATACTCGTTCTCCAAATCACTCAAGTCAATCCCAATTATCAGGTCGAGGTGTAAAATCAATCCCAACTTTTAACCCTGAGTTCTGGCTTTAGAATTGTCCAGTTGGGCGAATGTTTCTCATAAGAAAGCCAATTGAAGTCATCAACGGAATCCCAGTTATTTGTTTTAGTATCAAGACCAGCTAGATTAAAATGGCTAGCCTGATCTTCATAAACCCAGTTGTAAGGAGCGACTTTTATCTTACTACAATCCTCTATTATTGCTCTACTCGTCACGTGGAGGTAAATTGTGCAATCTGTCGACGAATGCAGACGAAACTGCTGACAAGCGAATGCGAATGTACACTGTTCACAGTTATGAGCGAATACTGACGCTGAAACTGGGCCAATCAAGATGGTACATTGTTTGAGATTAACCATATGTAAGGTACTTGGTGCTCCATATATCCTTACAGTACATCGGGTTAAATCGGACAATAAAACATCATTTTTGTTGACATTTTCAGCATCTAAAGTAACTTGCTCATCGATTTTCCCTATTAAAGTACTTGCATTGTCTGGGTACTTACTCATTAACTCTTTCTGCTGTTTAATTGCTCCGTTTGTTATACCATCCGATAAGTTCATATCCTTTAAACCATCAGTGACATCTAAACTCTTTTCTGATGGTTTTTTCACAGCTCTTCGGTTTTTAAAACCAAACTTCTTCTTCGGTATTAGTTTCAATTCTAACTCTGCTGCCTCTGTTTCTAAATGTTGAAGAGTTTCTTGAGCTTTTCTTACATCGTACATTGTTAAAAATATTTTAGATTGTGATAAATAATTCCAAAGTGTCAGTATTTCTTTATTGACTTTATCAAAAAGTCCAGGTAACGATGAAGATTGAGTTGATACTGCTGAATCGAGCATTTCTTTGACTTTATTACAAGATGCATAAAATGCATCTTGAAAATAACTTAATTGCTCTGAATCTACAGTTAACTGTTGCTTTTCTTCACGTTTCTTTTCAATCACATTTTTTCGCTCACGATGTCTTTTTGTAATTCGCTCCGGTAGGTTTCCTCCAATAACTTCAGAAGACTCCATTTTTGTTATTAAATGTTATTTTTCTGACGACAATTCTTTTGCTTGCTGAGCTTTCAAAGCTTCGGCTTCTTTATTTTTCAAGAATTGTTCAGATTTTTTCAAAAATGGTCGATAATTATCTATTGTAGGCTTTGGAAAATCCTGAAATAAATATTTACAACCGTAACAGTGGTTAATGTTATTGTTTAAATGAGTAACTTAATTGACTTTAAAAATTGACAAATATACCATACCTTTATAATATCTGCTTCATTTGGAGTGACAACTTTCATTAAAGCATAAGCTACACCAGTCCCGCCAATCAGGAGTACAATTGATTTTATAAAAGCCATAAAGCAAAGAAAAAATCATTCAGCTGTGTCGGTTTCTAATCCAAGTCAACAAGTCTTGTTCCCTGATGTATCTTGATTTAGAAATTTTTTCTCCTATATGATAATATCCTTCTAGTACTTTAGGATAATTATTGTATAAGTAATAACGAAAATCTGTAAATAATAAGCATAATTAAGAACCTTTTGAATTTAATTTAGAGAGATGAGTCATTCATGCTGCAAAAAGAGAATTAACCTGTACACTCTGTGATAAATTATGATTTACTGTTTTCAACTATCTTGGCATTCATAATCAATTTTGTCTTATAAAATATATATTTGAGATAATATAAAGACGTTTAATCATGTCAAAAATACGACATACTTGAATAGAAGTAATTTTAATAATGAATTTTACCTTGTGATGTATTAATGCGGTGCCACAGTGCGTACGAAATACCTATAACAGCAATTTCAAAATACAAAAAATATTTCGCGAATTTTCCTGCTTTTTTATACGAGAATTTATTTGGTTCTTTGATCATACTACAAGTCACTTTTATTGAGACCTATGCCTTTATATGGAAATTATCAATACCGAACTAAAAAGAAGAAAGTTTGGGCCATTGCGACTGATCAAGGTTTTTTAACACCGTCGACAGTCACGAAACAAATAATTTCGTAGATCATTTCAGAGGGCAGCAGTTTACGAATGCCTTTGTGGCGCGAAAATTGCAACAAATTTAAAATTGATATTCAATTATTTTTGTATTATATTTTTTTATGTAAATATTTTTTATAGACAGAATAACTTTGACAAATAATAAATAATGTTAGTTGAATTTATTGTAAAGTAATTCTTGAATAAATAATTTATTATTAATTAATAAAACATATCAATGGATATATTTTAAAATAGATGTTTTATAAACAAAGGAAACTGTTAAAAATGTCCAAGTTATTCAGGTTGTTAATTGCAATAGAGAGCAATATTTATTGATGAATAAAAATATTGACATAAATTTAATAAAATATTATTATATATTCTTTCTAATGTGATTTATTGAAAACTCATCTGTACATATACATCATACTGCACTTGAAGTCGTAAGACCTTTCTGAACTATAATTCCTATTTCGCATATGAAAACATCTTCAAGACTGTTGATAGTCTTACTTCATTAACTGCCACTGTGCCATTCAAAAAATTGATACGTCAAATGGATAAATAATTATTCAATCCATTGTACAGAAATGTATAAATAACATTTAGAAACATTAAGTTTCGTAGCAATAAAGTGCGGAAAAATAATTCGGTTAAAATATAAGATTATCATAAATATTTAATAGAAAAGCTGGCAGTTAATAAGTTAGAGGTAACATTCGTAAATTGCTTTTTTTTCGTTTAAAGTTAAGTTTTTCTACCATTATAAAAAATCGCTGTTTTTTAATATAAATAAAAAACATTACGAATTTAGCGTCTACAGATAGATTTTTTTGCACAAAGCAAAAATATTAATCAAGTAGTCTTTGAATGACTACATTTTAATTGTCACTAATATCACGAGACGCTAAATACATCATCACGATTTCAATACAATTAAAAAAAGAACCAAGGATATTAAAAATAATCATATGAATCATATTAATAGAGATAATAATAAAAATTATACTTAAAATCTTATACACAAAGAAAATTTGGAGATTAAATTTCTTTCAATACTCGATTGGCACGATAAATAAATTGATACTCCAAAGAGGATGAGAAAAAAGAATGCTCGAAGATGTTCTCGTTCCAATAACGTTAATCCGTAACTATTTTAACCATTAAATTCTTACAATATATCCAATCTTGACACAGAGATCGGATTATCTTCTACTTCCTCTTATTTCTACTCTATTTAATCGCGTTATGCTCTTTAACCAGTTAATCGTTACGTTGTGGAACGGATTGTAAACCTTACCTTTGAAATTTTACTATCAGTTTTACAAATTAGTAATCAAAAAAAAAATATACAAAAAAATATATAATTAATATTAATTCATAATAATAATTAATATTAATAATAGTAAAACAACCCGCAGAGTATTGATGTCTCGATTGACATAATATGACAATTAATATTGCCAAATAATTGATTAATTGGTTATTAATTGCTCCACAGATAACTTGAGTACTCTCATTTAATTTGTGTTATTTTAGTGAATAAAATTTTTCACAACACAGTTAACCACTTTCTGACAATTATTTGCGGACAATGGGAGACTCAAAGCGACGATCAACATAACAGTCTTTTGAACACCATGGGGTCATGGGACAATATATAAGCGTTAGTTCGCTACGACACCATTTCATGCCAGCCGCTGCCATTCGAAGAACTGCTGTCAGATGAGCCTAAAATATTACCATTATGGTAAAATATGTCATTTCATATTATCTTTATTCAATCACAAATAATTACCAGTCTTAGAATTATCAGCTCGATCAGGAGATGGTAACTTTGGCCCCCATATTCGTACCGTGCAGTCATCAGATACTGAAGCCATCATTTGATGATACACGGGATTCCATGAAACACAATTGACTGTCCTACTGTGTCCAGTAAGAATTGCAATTGGCAATTCTCGTTTGATGTGCCACACGTAAACTTTATTGTCTAGAAAGAAGTTTAATAATGTTTGTTTTAACTCATGCATAACAAGGAAAAAAAAGAAATTAAAAGAATAATCTTTTCATACAAAACAAACTCAATAGAGGGTTTGAAACTTACAAAGTTCATTACCATTAAGTAATTAAATTACCTTCACTACCGGATGCAATAAAGTCTTGGTTCACACCACCAAAACAACTGTGAATCGTAAAATGCCCTTGAGTAACTCCTTGAAAACGTCTGACAAGGCATCTATCTTGCAGGTCCCATAAGTGTACACCCTGATTAGCCACATTGAGCAGTACCAATCGATCCGCTTTGTTTACGCTAAATGACATCACTGGATGATCTTCTTGAAGACTGCCGAGAATTAAAGAGAATTGGTTTCAAACATTTTTCTTCAAGGATTTTAGGTCAAGTCGAACATTACTCACATCGTAAAATCACAAAGTTCATCAAAATTATAGCCACGGATACGATGGTGACTATCAGCAGCCAAAACTGTCTTTCCATCGCTTCTACACCAAAGACACTTGACTCTTACACCCTCCCAAGAGTCTAATATATTTCCGTCCATGTCGCATTGATAAAACTGTCCCCGTAGGCCACCAGTCACAAATTTATTAGCGTCCCGATGCCAAGCACAGGCAGTAAGTGAATCATCAGAACTGTGAGTCAGTTTAATACGTAGTTCACAATCCGGAGTGTCAACACTCCAAAGCCAGAGTTCTGGACAATCTTCAGGGCCGCACGCAATCAAATGACTGCTATCAGGACTCCAGGCAATTAATGCTACACCGTATGTATGTCCTTCCAGGGTCTTTCTATGTGTCACTCGTAGGGTTTCCTTTAAAAATATATTTTCATTAATAGAAAACTTTCAAGAAATATTAATAATAAATGTGATAAATATTCAATACAGTTATTATATAAGGATAAGATTCGATAAAGTTTTTTCAAAGATAAAATATTATTTTGTGGTTACAACTTACAGGATCTACATCCCAAATGATGACGGTCATATCCTTAGAACCAGTAGCGAGTTTAAGCCCGTCAGGAGAAAATTTACAATACCAAACTTCATCACAGTGATCGTTGAGCACTTGAGTGGTGTGGCATGGAAAATGTTCCTTACTACAGCTGTGATCAACCAACAATGAAACACTTTCAAGAGTGGCTTGGTTTGGTGAAATATGATAAGTGCACTGCTGGTTTTGCATTTCTACAGCTTGACAAAGGAGAGATTGAAGGCGTTTTGGTGGCAGCATTATCGATGGAGGCAGATACCTTTGTAGTCTGTCCATCAGCGCAGCACGAGAAGCTGCTCCTTTACCATCCCATCCAGCTCGAGTCTATTAATATAATGAAGCCAAATATATGGATACATGTATAGAATGAAGAAATAAATTTACAACAGTTTAGGAATTACCTGGAGTTCGTCTCTTCCACTACACATCATGAACGCAGATAATTGGTGCACACGTCCTGTGTTGTGTCCTAAAGGCGTCAATTCATTGCGCAATACTTGTAGCGCTTCCAAAACTAAACCTTCTTCAAGAAATTCCAGATACTTTTGCTCCAAAAGCAAAAACTTCATTTCCACCAAACTTTGATTAGGATTATTTAAAAAGGCCTTGAGCTCATTGAGGTCATGGTCAGCTTTACTCCAATCGCCATCCATCACATGCTGTCGGAATTTCGCAGCCGATGGATGGTCTAAACGACAACCTGATTCTTGCATCAAGAGGTCAGCAGTTCGACTACAAAAAAAACAATATTTATTTAACATAAATTCAATAAAATAAAGATTTAATCAGAGGTCAAGGGTAAGGAGATGTGGAATATAAACAAAAATGATAAGAAATCTCACTCGAGTCCAACTGCCTTTAAGTGCTGACCAATCAACCTGACAATATCTTGATTTGTTTTATCCATTATCTTTGGTGGACCTAATGGTTGACTTTCTCCATTTACACCATTAACATCACCATCACATCTTGGTAAAGCATCTCCATTAGCATGAGATCCACCGGAATCAGGAGCTGCTCCATTTTGCTGAGGGACATTGGAAACTGCTGCTCCATTAGAGGCTTGCTGCATCATGCTGTGATATACAAAGAAAAGTTTGTGAAGTCAGATATTTTTATCTGGTGTCCAAGGTCTACCACCTTGACGTAAATTCAATCTGTAATACTCTATAAGTCTTGTCATTTATAATTTGTATCTAATAATAATAAATCTATGATAGTATAATCAAGAATAGACAATAAAATCATATCAATATACATACAAACAAATCACAATAACATGTAATCTAAAGTGTTTTAAAGAATTAAATACACAATATCAATAACTAACTAAAATGCAACAAAGAATAATAGACGGCTAATGAATATGATGAATAAAATAAAAGAGACATATATATATATGCCTATACATACTGTGTGCATATATGTACATAAATACAATCCACGTATGTTTGTATATGTGCACGTATATATCACAGAAATGTATATGTATATACATGTATGGATAAAAAATGAGGGAATGAGGAACGTGAAAACGCAATCCTAATTTCACGTGGCCCTGACTTATATTTTTTTTTATCACGGTTACCGATAATTATCCATTGTTGTGCTGGTGTGGTACTCGTCCGCTGGTCTTAGGGTAGTCGTGAGCGAACTACGGGACCTTTTGCGCGGTGGCGGAGCGAGCCCACCGTCGTCCGACTCGCCGCTCGAGGCCAGGCTTACGCGCGTACCGCCCCGTTTTTTACACGATTATTGTCCCCGAGGTGGTGCGTTGGTGGGGCCGTAAGCAGCCACGATATCACGAACGAAAACCAGCGTTTCGTTTTCTTTCTTGTCCTCCGTTACTCCCCCACTTTTCAACAATTTTTACGTATCCGTGAACTCTTCAACACAGGACTACGACGTTCCTCTTTGCCTCTTGCTAAAGCGTCCACCCAGAACGTCCACAATACCACAAAAACGATTAAGAAAACACAAAAAAAATTATATTTTTGTGTGACTGCCAACACGAATACGAACAATGACTGCCACACAGCTGATACTTGTTTGGATCGTCGTTTACGTCACACAATTCTTCTCTCTAGGCAAGCTGGCTTCGTTATTTCCTCAGGTTTCTTTCTCCTCCAGCGCCATCTTTAATTTATTTCTACTTAGATTTTTGACAGATGGGGTTTATGTACTTTTCTCAATCGGCTGTCAAGTTATCGATTGAATTTTTGCAAAATTCAATTATTTAACAAATGAGGGCCTAGGGTTGCACTTCCGGTTCAGCCAATGAACGAGGCGAAATAATTGGCACGTAAATTCAAATTTTTATTACAAAAATACAATTTTTAATAATTATTTATAAATGTAAAATTAAAAATCATCGATTATTTTTATTATAAAAAATGAAATAATAATTGTGGAAAAGGTTCAAAATATTTAGAATGATAAAGTAGATTTCGTTGCACAATTTACCCATCGAGTTGAAGTTATCAATGGCGGTTGATAAAATAGAATCCTGTGATTCTTTGAAATCAAAATAGTTGAGAGAGGGGTTGAGAGGCGGCGTGGTATTTCTGTCTAGTTTCGGAGCGGTACAGCGTCAGTTACTCGCTAACCGTCGATGTAGTAAGTTGTTTTTATAGTAAAGTGCGTCGTGCATCACTTTAATTATCACGATTAGTAACATTCCAATTGCATACTTCTCGAAACGAGTACAAGGTCAACGTAGCATTATTTTATTCTATGTACCGTGTTTATAAGAAGTGAATATAATTTAATCGATGGTGAAATATTCCAATTGATCGACATAAAAGATCACTTTCGCTGTGTAAATTGGAGATTTGACTTCCTCTCTCTTTTACTCTCGTGCAGACACCGCAAGGGCTTGTGGTGCTCGTCAAGAATTCCAAGGAAATTTTTTGTGCTGTGTGTGTGATTGTTATTTTTTAATGAAAATAAATGAAAAATCATTTCAATAGATAAATACATAACGTTACGTTATTTATTTGAGTGATTAATTTGATCGTATTATTATTATTATTATCACCTGTTGCACTAGTTGTGCATATTTATATATATATATATATATATATTATATATGTATATATATACATAAAAAGTTATATATTCCGCCTCTTGTGTTACACTGGATTACTAGATTATACGTGAGATTGACGGAATGCTGTTCTTGCCGGGATAAAAGGAATCTCGTCGTGGTTGAGACGCTTAAAGGTAAATCTATGAATTTAGTTGATGATTAAATATTAAATAATTCGAAGATAAGACAAAAAATAGATTTAAAAAAAAAAAGGAAAGGAGGATAAGGAATGAGATTAGAAAGTTAATGCAGGAAGTAAAGGGAATAGAGATTTGTATTACATTCTAGATAAAATGGAATATATATGAAAATGAAAAATGTGGAGTAAGAGTCTCATGTGTTTTGTTTGGAGTAAGACCAATAGATGGACGCGATACAAAATATAAACAAATCACACAGTTAGAGAAAGGTCAAAATTGAAATGTTACAAACTAGTTTCTTTAGAAATAAATATTCTCAGAAAACAAGTTAAAACATTAGAAAATTTCCAGAAGAGAATTTCTGAATATAAATATCTCAAGTAGATTTACATTCTTTACGCCTTTAAAAGTAAAATTTCATGCTGATTTGTTAGACTTATACTCGGAAAAATTCTTGGGTATTTCTTTTTGAAAAGAAAAAATTGATTTTCGAATGTTATTAACATGATTAAAATATTTCAACATTTTTTTTTCATCATCATTCGATCTCCACTGTCAATCTGTTGGTCTATTTATTCTATCCTAATTCTATTCCATTTACGGAGTTGGCGGCGTTCCACCACGAGGAATTCAAACCGGTAAGATCGAGCTGCAGGTCGCCGAGACTTGTAATAGCTTTCGTTCCAGCAAGAGCCGCGCTGGCACGATCGTGACGGAATCCTGAATCTTACAATCGCCACGAGATCGTTCTCTCACTCTTTCTTTTTCTTTTGCGCATTCGATTCTCCCTCGCGCAACTTCCACTGCCGATCTAGCGACCGATTTCTCAAGTTTCAAGAACTCCAAGCACTCTTTCAAGTAACTGAAAACGACGGAAATAGAATAAAACCAATAAGAATTCAAATGTTTTAATGTAGAATCTATTAGTGAGTAAATATACCAAAAATCACTCCATACCAGCTTTTAATTGAATCAATTATTTTTATTCGAATTTGAATTAATGCAAATACGTCATTATGACTAGACTAGGAATAAAAAGCATCTACAAAATAAAAAAAATTTTAAAACTTGATTATTTTTTTTTTTTTTTAAATGACTAATAAATAATTTTAAAAATTAGCGGGTCATTTTTAAAACTTGTTTCAATTAAATAATTATTTATGAGTTATCTAATTTACCGTTGAATAATTGGTATTAAAAATTTATTGTTCATCGTTATTCGAGAATATCCGTTAAAAAATCCATTCAGGTGGATTTTAAATTGCTAATTTGTTCGAACTTTAGGCACAGATTGAAATTGGGTGTGTTCATATATAGCCAAATTTATAAAAATTAATTTCCAAATTTAATTCAACTTCAATATAAATTATTAGTTTCCTGTTAAAGACAATTTTAAATGAAATGTATTCATTTATTAGTGAACTTTCAAAATTGACCACATAATATTTGAATTAAAAATAGTGTATACCTTCTTTTTACTAATAGAAACTCTCACTAAAATAATTTATTTCGTTGCTCGTTTAGTTCCCATTCTACCGTGATTAATCGAGTCACATTGAATTACACGACGTTCAGAATTATTAATCTACAATTTAAAATGATTTTCTACTAAATAGTTTCATCACGTAAATAATATAATACAAAATAATCATAACAATAATAATTATAATAACACCGATAATAATAATAATAACAACAGCAGTATATAGATAAAATATATTAAAATATACGAGTACGGTTTAAGTGGCTTCTTTCTTAATTCATCTTTCGATCAATCAAGGTAAAGGCTATTGAATACTATTACCACGGGGAAAAATTCCAAAGTGAGAGGATGACACGTCGTTGAAGAATTTTTAAATTCCATTCCTATGCCCCTCGGCTATCACTCCGCTTCCATGCGTGCTTATACGCGCGATAGCATCGCAATAGAATCATGCCTACCGGATAGACATGAGGCCTGACAATGACGTGATGTAGCTCCCGTATAAATTCTTTTTTTTTTCCATTAATATTTCTAAATAATGCAATTATTTAAATAAATTAAAAATGATCTATTCCAAAAATAAAGAAACTTTTTTCTTCAAAAGCTTTAATGAAATTTTTCTCATCACAAATGGAAAGCAAGTTATTTCATGAATTTTCAATCCACATTCTTTCATAATAATTAAATGAAAATAATTATAAAGAATTAAAGGGAAAAAAATGTAGTCTATTAACAGTATATTCTTGTTTTGGTATAAAAGTGAGAATGGAGTTTGAAATGTTTGTTATAACACAGTTGGTATTTAGTTTATTATGGGTTATTTTCTATGAAATCAGAAATAAGGTTGTGTTACATACTTTCTAAAAAAAATGTCCCATAAAAAGTAAATAAATAATCAATCGAATTTCTTTAGACGTTTTCTCGTTTCAGGGTGACAATTCGTCTCACGAACATGACCTTCGTTTCTCCGGTCTCGTTTTCTATTAGTAAGCAGTCTTTTCTGTTCCTGTTGAGTGCATTCAGGCTTATCATTATCTCTGGTAACTCAAGTGTATTCAACATGTGTTGTTTTGTAAAGGTGAAATTCATAAGATTTTGATGACTCAAAATTATTGATTACAGTCACATTTTTAATTTCAAACACTAGAAACACAAGTGTTTTATTTGATATTTTTTTCCTAGGGAATTTGACTACTGTTGATACTGAATAAGCTTCAAACTGTGTGTACATTAATGTGTACACGAGGTATCAACGAAAGTGCTAATGACCTCTAGCTGCTCTCTTTGGTCAAACAAAAAGCTCGTAAAAAGTGAAATAATCACATTACCGCAAACTACCTCTTGGCAACTTGGTGAAGATCATGCCCAAGTCTTTTAGCAATGCTAGTTGCGTATATATTTGCAACGTATGAAAGAGAAAGATACGTAGTGAAGTGATGGAGCTATAAACTCTTCTATTCACGTACATTACATTTTAAAGTTCGAACATCGTTTGCATTACACTCTTATATACATAACACACGTGTCCGTATTATCAGGTATACGTATAATACTGTTGATGGAGAGGTGGTAGAGTCGCACGCGGTCTGGCCACTTGTTGGCTAAAGAGAAACGCCGTATAGTATGCACATTCCAGAATGGGTAAGAGCATGCGCATCATCCCGCGTGTACGTTGACCAAGCGCTGATGCAATGATTTTCAATGATTTTATGCATTTTTAAGACCTGAGTTATTTTAAGGTTGAAGAGAAAGCATAGGTCGTGAATTGGAAATAAGTTAATGTAAACAGTCTTTAGATAAGTATCTGGAATTTTTATTAAGTATTTTTTTTAGAGTTTCTATTTAAATATTTTTGGAGTAAAATTTTGTAAAAAATTAATTTTTTTCATTTTCAATTAAAAATTTAGCAACATAATACTGTCTTTATTTTTTATTTAAAGATTCTAGTGTGTTTACTTTTAAGATAATTATGTAATGGTTTATTTTAGATTTTAAAATTATTTTTAAAAAAGTAGGTAATTATTTTAAATTAAAATAAATATACATATTTGATAAGAAGATATAAATAAATTTATTGACGATAAAAATTATTTTCTAAGTTATCTTATTATTAAAATTTATTAGAAGTTAAGAAAGTAAATAATTATGTCAAGTAATTTCCATTCATTTTGTTTATTAATTACTAGATAAAAAAAATATTTTAATCTCTGGTAATTGATGTCAGTAGTTTATTCTAATACTCAGTAAATAGTGACTCATTACGATTAAATTCCTGAGAAAAAGTTTAATTGCAAACAATTAACGACAAAAATTAATAAAATGGGGACATTTGATATCAATGAAAATTAAGTCTAGAGATGAATAGAAAAATTTATTAAAAATACTCGAAAAAAATTTTTTAAACATTA